TATACTTTTTTTTGCATCAACTCTCTAAATCTTATGGGATAGCTATTAAGTTTACTCCAATTATAGTGATGAAAAAAACCAACACTCCAAGAAGTTGCAAGGAAGTTACTGCCCTAGAAGGCAAATCAAATCCGCTGTCCTTCCTTCCACATTCTCTCCCAACTGTGAGAAAGGTGGTGTTACGGATTGAATTGTGTGCCCCCAAAATATATGTTGAAATCCTGGCCCCTATACCTGTGGATGTGATCCTGTATGGAAATGGGGTTTCTTTGTTATGTTAACTAGGCCATACCCGAGTAGGATAAGTTCTCCTAATCACTTCTGAGTTATAAAAAGAATAGAATAGACACAGAGACACACAGACGGGGGAAGACAAAAACCAGGTGAGGATCCTCTACAAACCAAGGAATCAACGCATGCCTGTGGCTATAGATGAGGATGGGACGGCCGAGACCTTGATTTGGCCTTTTAGCCTCCAGAACTGTGAGAAAATAAATATCTGTTTTTTGAAGCCCCCCACTGGTGGTATCTATGTTACAGCAGCACGAGGTAACTGAGAGAGGTGGGATCCTGGATTTTTCCCCCTTATTCTCATAGCTAGGACAGTCTATTGGGATAATTTGCAGGCCAGCCTCTATGGAGGCAGGGGAGAAACAAAACAGTATCTTTGAAAGGTGTTTGATTCAAAATCCATAAAGGTTGTACTGAAAAGTAAGAACTATCATGTCGAGGTGGGCACTAGCAACACAGCTGTACCGGTGCCTGATCTTCCCCGGCCGACGATTTATGCGAACTGATCATAGCTTCACCTGCCGACTCGCTGCAGCAAGTGGAGGTGACGTCAGCGGCCGCCATCATCTGCAGCAGGATCTGCGGAGCTCCAGCATCTCACTGTCTCCTGTATCCTGCAGCAGCAGCTTCCTGAGTGAACAGCTCTGAGGGTAAGAAAATAGCTCGTTAAGTCAAAAGCAGCTAGTGTGACCAACACACCGCCAGTTCTTACGAAACTGGGGGCAGCCCATCAGCTGGCCCTCGGCAGGGAAAAGCTCCTACCTTCATTCTAACACATACTGCGACTTAGAAGACTGAAAGTATAAGCAGGTTCAAAAATGGTTTCACTGTCATCATTAATGTTTGACTGACCAGCCAATATATCTAAATGTCAAAGAAATCATAGTGACACCAATGGAAACGCCCCTGAGGCATCCATGAGATCTTTTACTTTAGTCTATTTCCATGGGAATGCAGTCTGTTTTCTTATTTAAAAGATCACTTGTACTGTTTTTTCTTTATTTATTACTATGTTTTCATCGCAGGAAATTTGAAAATCAGATAAATAGAAGAAAATAAAAATCACTCATAATCCTACCATTCAGAGACTACTAAAATTCCCATTTTTCCCCTTGCATATGGTTTTTTGCTTCGTCTTGGAATAAAAATGGTGCTGCATACTACCTACCCTGTCAGAACTTGCTTTTTCAATTAGCACTGTATCATCTTGAGGTTATTGAATACTCTTTCTATACAACCATTTTTAAACCTGTGCAGTTTCTGTTTCATGCACATATTATAATTTATTTAACTAATTCCTTTTTGCTGGATTTTTAGGTTGCCAGTGACTTTTCGGAAACCCTGATGGCGTAGTGGTTAAGAGCTATGGCTGCTAACCAAAAGGTCGGCACTTCAGATCCATCAGGCACTCCTTGGAAACTATGGGGCAGTCCTACTTTATCCTATAGGGTCACTATGAATCAGAATTGACTTGATGGCAATGGGTTTGGTTTCTTTGGTTTAGTGACTTTTCACTATTATAGATAATACTATAATGGACACATTTGTAGCTAAATTTTCATGGGCATTCATGATTATTTACTGTAGATAAACTATTAAAAATCACACCTTTAGAAGTTAGTATCCTTTGCTTTGCCAAAGCTTTTTATTGTTAAAATCAAATCTATTCCTGACTTCTTCTGTGATTATTTTCTGTGTATTTTGAATACCTAGATCTTCCCTATGCAAAAATTACTTTTACTTGCTTTATAACCTAAACCGCATCACTGTCGAGTTGACTCTGACTCATTGATGGTACAGGACAGAGTAGAACTGCTACCATAGGGTTTCCAAGGCTGAAATCTTTACAGAAGCAGACTGCCATATCTTTTTCCTATGGAGCAGCTGCTAGGTTCAAACCACTGACCTTTCAGTTAGCAGCTGAGGGCTGTAATCACGGCACCACCAGGGTTCCTTCCTTACTTTATAAGCTCATTATTTACAAATAAACTCTTCAATTCTTATGGAATTTGTTTTGTTGTACCATACTATGTTTTTGCTGTTAGCTGCTGGTGAGTCAGCCCCTGACTTATGGTGACCCCATGTGTTACAGAGTAGAACAGCTCCATAGCGTTTTCTTGGTTAGAATCTTTTAGGGAAGCAGATCACCAGGCCTTTTCTTCCTCAGAGCTGCTGGATGGGTTTGAACTGCCAACCTTTCGGTTAGCAGCCAGTTACAAACCACTTGCGCCACCCAGGCTCCTTGTATATACTATGTAGGGTCTAATTTCACATTTTTATTGAAATTGTTAACCAATTGGCCCATGAGCATTTATCTGAATAATCCTCTTTCCCAATGACTATGATGTCACTTTTAGCATACACTAAATTATGATACATACTAGGGTTTGCTCATAAACTACCTCTTCTATTTCACTGCTTTGTCTATTCTGTTGCTAACCTCACATTGTTTTAATGACTATAAATTTATATAATATACTTTGATATTTGGAAGGGTAAGTGTCTCTTAATTTTCTTTTTCAGACTTTCTTGGAGAGTTAAGAATCACTCAGCCAAGATCCTTACCACAACCCCCACCCCAAAATTCTATTGTTATTTTGATTGAAATCAGAATATTTCATTTATTCCAGTGGCCTTTAAATATTTCAGTAAAGTCTTATAGTTTTATTCATATGTTTTGCATAATTTTTGTAAAGTTTATTCCTAAGTACTACGCACACACAGACACACACACACACTCAACACACAGAGAGTTGTTACTATAAATGAGATCTGAAGATCAACTGGGGAAAATATTTGCAATAAATACTACAGGTAAAGGTTTAATTTAAATGAGTCTAATAAAAAATGCAAACAACATTTTCAGTAGAAAATGAACACATAATTCATAAGAAACATATAAATGGTCAATAGCATGAATAATTACAGAAAAGCAAATTAAAGTGACAGACTTTTAGTTTCAAACTGATGAAGTCATCTTGTCTTTTTCTATCTTAAAAAAGGTAGCTAAGAAATGAGCCAGTTATCTTTTAAGGTCTTCAACCATCTCTCTCCTCTTCCCAGCCAAACTTATGCAAAGAACAGCATATGCTCTCAATACCAAACACAAGCTCAGTGCTACAAAGGGCTGGGCAGAGGCCCCATAAAACCAGTTTCCATGGAGTTGATTCTGACTCATGGTGACCCCATGTGTGTCAGAGTAGAACTATGCTCCATAGGGTTTCAATGGCTGATTTTTCAGAAGTAGATCACCAGGTCTTTCTTCCGAGGTACCTCTGGGTGGATTCACACCTCCAATGTTTTGGTTAGCAGCCAAATATGTGATACTACAGAGCTCTAAGCTAGTGATGGTGGGAACTAAAAGGAGGAGGAAGACTCCAGACACATTTCAGAGAAGAAACCACCCTGGGTGGGCAGTAGCAACTGTCAGGATGGTGAGGGTATTAACCAAGATGAAGGTGCACAGGACAAGAAGCAAGTTAGGAAAGAAGAGTTAGTCAGTTGATTTTACAACATGCTTAGTTTGAAACACTAGTTGGACTTGTCTATAGACTTCCCAGCAGATACTAAGAAAGATGGAAAGGTATGGAGCTCCTACGAGAAGCTGGTGCTGAGGGAGTTGGTGAAACTGCCCAAAGAGAAAGTGTGGAATGAGACAAGAGGGCTGAATCTCAGCGACTGCCTACACCGCAGGGGTGGGCTGAAGAGGAGGAGTGTGTTGTCAGAGAAGCCCAGCTCAGAGCGAGCAGAGAAAGGTCAGGTGACTGTGGAATGTGGGAGCCAGGTGAGGAGAGACTGCTGGTGGATTGCTAAGTAAAACGGTCCCTTCTCATCTACAGCTTTTACGGGATACATACCTACTTCTTGGCAACAGAGTTGTTCAAAAGCTTTGTCTGTATAATCTTCATGCTGTTTCATAAATTTATCTTCCTTAAACTTCATGCCATCCTCAAAGGTCAAAGTTTCATTTAGTGTGTCCATTGCCTAAAGCAATTCCATAGAGTTTCATGAGAAAGAAACCATATTTTGAAGAAAATATTTTTTTTGTGTTCCCTGTTATACCATTTAGCAAGACACATGGTAAATATTGAATATATGTTTATTAAACAAAGAAATCAGTAGAATTTTAAAACTGGAAGTTATGTTGGAACAAGATAGAAATAGAAATGTTTTCATTTCTGTTCCTCGTCAATAGTGACAAGCACGGATTATGTGGCAACTATATTTCATTCAGACTTCCTGCCTTGGATATTATTCTACTTCCACTCCATTCTAGAGAACTCTCAAGGTTATCTTGTCCACACCTTGGTTTGAGAATGCAACATGCCTAATGAGGTCCCTAAAACTGTTCCTAAAACTCCACAGTCAATACTAAACTGATCGCTTCTGTTTCAAACGTATCAAAGCACAGAAAAGCAAAGGATGAACACCCTGCTGAGTAAAACTTTCTTGACACATCCTTTGACTTCTGTGCCTCATGTCACAGAAGCACTGTGGCTGTGCCACTCCTTAGTTCCAACCTGGAAACAGGCCACAGATCTGCTCCTCTCCAACAACTCTGGGGCACTTAGAGGCCTAGTGGCTAGATAGAGGTGGGTGCTAACTATGATTACTCAAATAAAGTATTATGCAGCAAAATCCTTGTAAAAACATGAGAGAAGTGATAACATAAACATATAAAAGTCAATAAAGGACAAGAAAGAAATTGAGTATTAGGTGTGATATATATAGACATATGCTAATACCTATAGTATATATAGTAAGTATAGTCATAACTATATACATTGGGCACTGGTGGCGCAGCAGTTAAGTGCTCAGCTGCTAACCAAAAGGCTGGCGTTTTAAACCCACCAGTCACTCTGTGGGAGAAAGATGTGGCAGTCTGTTTCTGTAAAGACTTACAGCCTTGGAAACTCTATGGGGCAGTTCTACTCTGTCCTATAGGGTCACTATGAGTCAGAATCAACTCAACAGCACACATATATGTGTATAGACTCTCTTGCTCTCTATAAATATAAATGTAAATATATATATACACACACACTCGGAAACCCTGATGGCATAGTGGTTAAGTGCTACGGCTGCTAACCAAGAGGTCAGCAGTTTGAATCCACCAGCCACTCCTTGGAAACCCTACAGGGCAGTTCCACTCTGTCCTATAGGGTCGCTATGAGTTGGAATCAACCTGAAGGCAACAGTTTGTTTTGGTATATATATACTCGTTGTTAGCTGCCATCATGTTGATTCCAACTCAATGGTGACCCCCTGTGTGCAGAGCAGAACTGATCCATAGAGTTTTCAAGGCTGTGACCTTTCAGAAGCAGATCAGCAGTGTCTTAGGCTGGGTTCTCTAGAGGGGCAAAAGCAGTGAAGCATATGTATACATACATATATATATAGAGAGAGATTTATCTCAAGGAAATAGTTCACGCAGTTGTAGAAGCTGGCAAGTCCCAAGTCCATGGGTCAGGCATCAGGCTGCAGGCTTCTCCTGACTCACGTAGCTGCAGGGGTTCACAAACCCAAGATCAGCAGGTCAGACAACAGGCTGCTGGCTCACCGGCTGTGGAGGGTGATGAATCCAAGATTGGAAGGTAGGACAGCAGGCCACTGGCACACAGACTGTGGAGGCCGATGAATCCCAAGATCAGTAGGCAATACTGTAGGCAGCTGGCTCAAGTCCCAAGTACCAGAGGTCAAATGATGACGAGTCAGATGCAGGACCCAGAGCAAGCAAGTTAGCTTTGCCAGAATGTCCATATATATAAACTGGATGCAGGCCACACCCCCAAGGAAACTTGCCTTACAACTAATTGTCTGATCACATCATATCACATCATGGAGGATGACTACATCATCACATAACTGCCAAACGACGTCATTATATAACTGCCAAACTACATCATTACATAACTGCCAAACCACTGAGAATTATGGAACAGCCAAGTTGACACACAACCTATGGCAGTCCACCCCTTGTCAGCTTGGCACCTGTACACATCTTAAATCATATACAATCTCTAAATTAAGACAAATACAAAGTCATACTTGCACAAAACATGATAAAACTAATGTGTACAACTGAAAATACACTAGCCCCATTTACATCTTATATTTTATAAGTGAAGAAAACAAAAATATTTGATGCACATAAGTAAGGAAGAAATACTCATAACAATTACGATCCTTGTTCTGCAACTGGTTACATGGTTGTGACTGGTATTTAGAACTACCTTCTTCCACCACCCATTCTGTATTCCCTTTGCTCCTGGCAAGCACCTCAGCTGGTTGTGGTTCTTTGCCTGGTGGGGTGACCCAAACCTTCATTCTGGGACATTAGTAGTCATGTCAGAAATGGGTTGCTGAGTTTTCCACTGATTTTAATTACAGGGATGGTAGTACTAAGAAATGCCCTAAGGGATCTCCTGTATTCCAGACATACTTCATTATGCAACATTAATATGATTTTCCCTTGGTAGTCAGGGTCAATTCCACCAGCCAATATGGTAACTCCTTTTTTTGCCTGTTGATCCAGAGGCATGAGGAGCCCAAAGTGCCCAGGTGGCATTCTTAACTTATAGTTAAATGGAATCTGTGTTGTGTGTCTCCAGGTGGGAGCATTCCTCCTTTTGGAACTAAGACCTCTAGACCCACAGAGCATAGGGTCGTGGTGACAGGAAGCAAAAATTTTGCGAGTGGGTCACTAGGGGTAATAGTGAGTGGTGCCACTCCCATCTCCACACCTTGATTCCTGCACTCGTGAATCCTGGTTATGGGAGAAACAGCACCACGTATTGGATGCTGGTTTACAGCATATACAACCTCCTGGAGAACACTGCCCCAACCTTCAAAGTGTCGCCACCTAGCTGGTGCCATAATTGTGTCTTTAGAAGGCCATTCCACTGTTCTATCAAGCCAGCTGCTTCAGGATAATGGGGAACATGGTAAGACCAGTGAATTCCATGAGCACAGACCCATTGAGTCCCTTGATCTGAGGCAATGCTGTGTGGGATACCATGACGGTGTTTAAGGCATTCTGTGAGTCCATGTATGGTAGTTTTGGCAGAGGCATTACATGTAGGGAAGGCAAATACATATCCAAAGTAAGTGTCTATTCCAGTGAGAATGAAAAGCTGCTATTTCCACGATGGAAGCAGTCCAATGTAATCAACATACCACCAGGCTGCTGGATGATTGCCTTGAGGGATGGTGCCATATCGGGGACTCAGTGTTGGTCTCTGCTGCTGCCAGATTGGGCACTCAACAGTGGTTGTAGCCAAGTCGGCCTTGGTGAGTGGAAGTCCATGTTGCTGAGCCCATGGATAACCTCCATCCCTGGCACCATGGCCACTTTGTTCTTGAGCCCATTGGGCAATGACAGGAATAGCTAGGGAAACATGACTGGTTTCCACAGAACGCATCATCCTATCCACTTGATCGTTAAAATCCTCCTCTGCTGAGGTCACCTTTTGGTGAGCATTCACATGAGACACAAATATCTTCACTTTTTCAGCCCATTCAGAGAGGTCTATCCACATACTATTCCCCACACCTCCTTGTCACCAATTTCTCAATCATGTTCCTTCCAAGTCTCTGACCAACCAGCCCATAAATCAGTATAAAATCACACACATCAGGCCATCTCTCCTTCCAAACAAAGTGAAAAACCAGGTGCAAAGCTCGAAGTTCTGCCCATTGGGAAGATTTCCCTTCACCACTGTGCTTCAGGAAGGCCCCAGAAAGGCATTGCAGTGCTGCCACTGTCCACTTTCAAGTGGTATCTGCCTATCACAAGAACCAACTGTAACCAGGCATGAGTTTTCTCTTCCTCAGTCAACTGATCATAAGGAACTCCCCATGAGGCAATAGGTGCAGACTTCAGAGGGCAGGTAATGTGACAGGAATGGATACCTTCGTCATTTGGGCCACTGCCTTATACAACTTACTTGTGCCTTCAGGTCCTGCTCGAGCCCAATCTCGTATATAACACTTCCATTTAATGATAGAGTGCTGCTGTGCATGTCTGACTTTATGACTCTGTGGGTCAGACAACACCCAGTTGATGATGGGCAGCTCAGGCCACATGGTGACTTGGTGTCCCATGGTTAAGCATTCAGTAACTAAGACCCAGTAACAAGCCAAAAGCTGTTTCTCAAAAGGAGAATAGTTATCTGCAGAGGATCACAGGGCTTTACTCCAAATTCCTAAGGGTCTGTGCTATGATTCAGCAATAGGGGCCTGCCAAAGACTCCAAACAGCATCTGTATCTGCCCCTAATTATTCAAGCACCATTGGATCAGCCAGATCATATGGCGCAAGTAGAAGAGCAGCTTGCAAGGCAGCCTGAACCTGTTGTAGAACCTTCTCTTTTACTGGACTCCACTGAAAACTAGCAGCTTTTTGAGTCACTTGATAAGTAGGCAGGAGTAGCACACCCAGATGAGGGATATGCTGCCTCCAAAATTCCACCAGGTGTTGCGTCTCCTTTTTCATTGTAGGAGGGGCCAGATGTAACAACTTATCTTTCACTTTAGAAGGAATATCTCCACATGCCCCATACCACTGGACTGCTAGAAATTTCACTGAGGTGGAAGGTGCTTGGATTTTTTGTGGGATTAATTTTCCACCTTCTAGCACACAAATGTTTTACCAGTAAGTCCAGAGTCATTCACACATCTTCCTTACTAGGTCTAATCAGCATATCATCAATGTAATGGACCAGTGTGACATCTTGTGGAAGGAGAAGGCAATCAAGGTCCCTGAGGACTAAATTATGACATAGGGTTGGAGAGTTGATAAGCCCCACAGTAGGACAGTGAAGGTGTATTCCTGGCCTTAACAGCTGAAGGCAAACTGCTTCTGGTGTTCCTTTGAAACCAGAATCAAGAAAAAGCCATTGGCTAGATCAATAGCTATATACCAGGTAACCAGGAGATGTGTTAATTTACTCAAGCAATGAAACCACATCTGAAACAGCAAGTGCAATTGGAGTAAACACCTGGTTAAATTTATGATAATTCACTCTCATTCTTCAGATCCACCAGTTTTTTGCACAGGCCAAATAAGTGACTTGAATGGGGATATGGTGGGAATCACCACTTCTGCATCCACGATGGTGGCAGTAATCTCTGCAATCCCTCCAGGAATGTCATATTGCTTTTGGTTTGCTATTTTCCTATGTAAGGGCAGTTCTTATGGCTTCCATTTGACTTTTCCTACCATAATAGCCCTTACTCCACTTGTCAGGAATCCAGTGTAGGGGTTCTGCCAGTTTCTGAGTATGTCTATTCCAATTATACATTCTGGAATTGGGGAAATCACTACAGGATGGATTCGGGGATCCACTGGACCCACTATGAGACAAACATGAGCTAAGACTCCATTAATAACCTGACTTCCATACGCCCCCTACTCTGACTGGTGGGCCAGTGACATTTTGGGTCTCCTGTAATTAGTGTCAGTTCAGTAATCCCTGAAAATTCTGATTATTTCTCTTGGTCCAATGAACAGTCACTTTCAGAAAAGGCCGTAGATCCCTTTGGAGAAGACTTGGAGAAAGAGTGATAGTATAAATTTTTGGCAGTATAGTGGGGTCCTTCCTCAAGGGGATCCAGCTTTCCCTTCATTCAAGGAGTTGTGAGTCTGTAAACTGACTTAAGTCTGGGAATTGATTGAGGGTCTGTGACTCTCTATTCTAGCACTTTGAGTTAGACTGTCATTCACTTGACCTAGAACTCTTCCGCTTGTACAGATCAAGTAAATATTTAGATTTCCCATCTATTTCACTCCTAGGGACACCATGACTAAGTAGCCAATGCCATAAGTCTGTACAAGTCAGACTTTTCTGACCACTGCTCTGACTTCACTGTCCATCACCATAACCACGCCCACCTTATATTTGTTGATTGAGTGCAGCCACTTGGCCCTACCACCACAGGGTCCAGTCAGCCCCATTGTAGTTAGGTGTCTTAATTCAGTTAGGGCAGTTCCCACTGTCAAATCTGACTTACATAAAATAGCAATCACAGCAGTCTTCAAGGATTCTGGGGCTCCCTTCACAAATATGTTCCTCATTGTGGTAAAAGGTGTGTCCTCTGGGCACTCCATGGGTGGGTCTGTAGGTCTAACCTGATAAATTCACTCTAACATGCCAATTTCCCTAAGCCTTTGGATACCTTCTTCTACAATATACTAAGGCAAGTCTGGTATTTCAACTTGATTTAGTGTAGGCTACTGCTTAATCCATGCTTCAGTGAACCAATCAAATAAACTATTAGATCCTTTTCTAACTTCTCGAGCTGAAACATTGAATGAAGAATCTGTGCTTAGTGGGCCCATATCAATAAACTCAGACTGATCCAACTTAATATTCCTTGTACCATTATCCCACACTCTTAATAGCCATTCCCAGACATACTCCCCAGGTTTCTGTTTGTACATATTAGAAGAGTCAAACAGTTCTTTTGGAGTGTAGTATACCTGTTCCTGGGTCAAATTTTGTATTTCACCTTTTGGGCTTGCTGAGACTTAAGTCTAGTTACATGTCTAGAAGCAAAAATAGGTGATGGGGGTGGGTTCTGGGAACATTCAGCAATGTCTTGTAAGGCTTATGCCCCAGCCAATGACTGAGATGCTGCCCCAGGTGATATCTCAGTCAAAGGCTCTTCAGACCCAGCTGGGTTAATCTAATCAGATGGGGGTGGAGGGGCTAATGGTTTTATTGGGGAAGGTGGCTTAGCAGACAAAAATGGTGTAATCTCTTCAGAAGGGAGTAAGGGGCTGGTTCTGTTGGCAGGAATGACTCAACAGAATTTAGGGGCTCAGTGTCTGCAGCTTCCTGATTATCTGCCCATACGTCCCCATCCCAAGTTTCAGGATCCCATTTCTTCCCAATCAATGCCCTCACTTTAACTTTAGACACTATTCAAGGTTGAGAATTCAGTTGGTGTTGTAATTCAGCTACCCTTATGATAAAACTCTGGGTTTAGTTTTCAGCAATATCAGCTATATTACTACAAGAAATAAGGCTTTTTTTCAGGGCATAAGTGGAAACTTTGAGGTCTTTAATGTGGTGCTTAAGCTGTGACTCTGAAGCCCTGAGCTCAACTCTTTCTTTCACCACTTTGTCTAGCAAAAGTAGGACCAAACAATTAGCTTCCTTATACTTCTCATTCTGACAAAATTGTAGAAAAGAATCAAAAAATTGATCACCCAGAGCTTTGCTTCTCACCAATACTTGATCTATTGGTGGTGATATTTTGCATATTAATATTGCCACCTCATGCCATGGATTAGCAGCGTCCTCTTTACTACTAGAGGCAGAGTCATCAGTGCCTTTAAGACTAGTTAGACTTGAGAACCAATTTAGAAAACTCATTCTTATGCTTTTGTTTCTCTAGAACCACCTTTGGTACCAAGTGTCTTAGGCTGGATACTCTAGAGAAGCAAAACCAGTGAAACATATATCTATATACATATATAGCTCATGCTGTTGTAGAAGCTGGCAAGTCCCAAGTCCGTCAGTCAGGCATCAGGCTGGAGGCTTCTCCTAACTCACATAGCTGCAGGGGCTGACAAACCCAAGATGGGCAGGTCAGACAGCAGGCCGCTGGCTCATGGGCTGAAAAGCCTGATGAATCCAAGATCAATAAGTAAGACAGCAGGCTCCTGGCTCACACGCTGTGGAGGCTGATGAATCCCAAGATCAGTGGGTAGGATGGCAGGCTGCTGGCTCATAGGCTGAAGAAGCTGATGAATCCCAAGATAGGCAGGCAATACAGCAGGTAGCTGGCTCAAGTCCCAAGAACTGGAGGTCAGATGATGATGAGTCAGATGTAGGATCCAGAGCAAGCAAATAAGCTTTGCCAGAACGTCCGTGTATATATATTGGGTGCAGGCCACACTCCCAAGGAAATTCTTCTTACAACTGATTGGCTGATCACATCAGATCACATCATGGAGGATGATTACATCATTACATAACTGCCAAACTACATCATTACATAACTGCCAAACCAATGAGAATCATGGTCCAGCCAAGTTAACACACAGCCTTAACCATCACAACCAGGACTGTCTTCCAAGGCACCTCTGGTGGGTTTAACCTCCAACCTTCTGGCTAGTAGTGGAGCACTCAACCGTTTGCACCACCCATGGACTCCCCAAATAAAAGGCAAATTCAGAGAAGATGAAATGGAAACACAAATCAGTTTATTTTGATATCTGCTAGTAGGTCTGGGAAAAAGTGGGATAAATATGATGTTGAAATCAAATCATAAAATCAGGTTGATTTATTGTATTTGTGCACTGTATTCCTGCACTGTGAGAAGGAGAGCAATCCAATAGTTACAATTACAATCCCTAGGTCAATTTTCTTTGACATTACAGATACTTAAAACCATTAGTTTGACATTACAAAATACGGCAATTCCATGAAATAGTAGGGAAAATGTCCTGTAGCTGATCGAGATAAAAAACTGTGGACCCCTAACCAGTGTTTCTATATGGAATCTAAAGACAAAAATGTTTATTACCTTAGCGTCATATTTCTGTTCTGGAATTTTACTTTCCTCTATGTTCTGAAGCCTAATATGTTTCAAGTTTCTTTCAATATCCTGAAAGGTTAGAGAAAATTGAAATTCTATCATTCAATGTTGATCAAACAATTACACTCTCTGGATTTCTGGATTGAATCTGATGATTAATTTGAAGGCAAAAACATGCCTTTGTAAGGAAGGTTAATAAGAACTCACTGAAAACTTGGGCATAGCGTTCATTAATTTGAAGTATTAATGTATTTTGTGGAAACAGACAAAGACCACCCAAATGAGAACAAACAAAGGCTATTTACTCAGAGCTTACATAGCCAGGGAGTCATTCACCTTCACTGTCATTTGGCAGAGACTCAGTCAGGCACAGCAGTGGGAAACTTCATAGAGGGAAAAAGTGTGCCCTGATTGGAGGCTGTTGGCGTGGGGAAGCTGGAGGCAGGCTGACTAGAAGCAAGGCTTCCTGTGTGATTGGTTAGGGGGCATATTTGGCTTTCTCTGGTTGGTCCTAACTTGGAAGTGGGGACAAAAATTAAGGAAGCTGTCAGTTATTAAGTCTTGGCCATTTGGGGGCTCACTGCCACAAGGATTGTTGTTTGGATTCCTGGACTGGTAGCTGCAGATAGTAGTTTGACTTCCTGGGTTGGACGTTGCAGATTGTGGGTCAGAGTTCTATATTTACAAATGGTCTGGCCATTGTCCATCTGTTCATCTGGTCTCTCAATTTTAGCACTGGTATTTCGATGACTAAAATTCTATAATGTGGCAATGCTTTCCACTCTAGTCCAAGCCAATCCAACCCAATCCAATTCAAGCATATAATTTTGACTAGAGGATCCTGCCCTTAAGAGGCTTATGAATCTGAAAAGTGCACAGCTTTATAAAGACGAGGGCTCTGAAAATTAAAAGGCAATTTCACGGAGGAAGGGAAGAAAGTAGTAAAAGTGGATGACAAGAATTTCAGAGGAACAATTGATAGATGAACTCTAAGTGCTGGAGTTTCTCAGGGTTCAGTCCTGGGCCCTCTTTTCCTCTCTTCCTTCAATATACGGGATAGCATCAACTCCTATGGATTTAAATGCCATCTTATTGTATGCGATAACTCTGAAACGTGGATCTTCAGGTCTGACCTTTCCCCTCTTCTGAGCTTCAGACTCACATAGCCAACTGCCTACTTAAATCATCTTCACTTTAATATTCATTCCACAAATCCACATGGAGCCCCACTAGTGCCAAACACTGTCCTTCGCCCTGGGCTGGTGAGTGAACATGCTGGAAAAGGCCCCTGCTCACTTGGAGCTTATATTTGCTGAAGTGATACATGTATCAACAACATAATGACATAATTTCAGCAAGTGTTAAGTGCTAGAAAGGAAATAAAACAGGGTAACAGGATTGAAAATGAGTAAGGGGTGAGGGTAATGCAGGGAAAATGTACTGGCATTTGATTTGTGCCCCGGAATGATACGGGCCTTAGCACATGAAGACCTGGGGAAAGCATGTTCCAGGCAGGGGGACCGCAGGGGCAAAGACCCCGAAGCAGGTATGCAATCTCTCGGACCTTCTATAACTCAACTCGTCCGAACAAAGCTCTTGATTGTCCCACCCCCACAGGATTGCTCCCCATTCTTCCCCAGCTGAATAAACGGCACTGTCATCCCCTTCAAGCCTGAGTTTGAGTTTACTTGATTCTTCACCCCCTACGTCCAATCCCGCAGTCAGTCCTATTGAGTCTCTGCAAAATTATATATAGATAGATAGACAGATATAGATAAATATCTATATGAAAATTATATATATCATCAAAATATAGATACATATCTATATGAAAATTATATATATCATTTTACTTTTTCCCATTTTACTTTTGGTCTCCATCATCTCTCATCTGCATTACTACAACAACTTCCAGCCAGTCTCTTTTGTCCCTTTCACTCTGCTTTCCTTAAAGCAACAAAAGTGATCCTGTTAAAATGTAAATCACATTGCAACTCTCCTCTTTCCCTGGCAAACCACCCTTTAATGATTTCTCATCACGCTTAGAAAAAAATCCCAAGCATCTTATATAGCCTAAAAAGCCCTATAAAATCTGGTCTCTTTCCAACCCCATCTTTTACTACTAAAACCATTCAATCACTACATTCCAGCTATGCTGGTTTTCCTTTAATTCCTAGAACATTCTAAGCTCTCTTCCACCTCAGAGCCTTTGCATTTGTTGTTCTCTTTGCAATGCCTGGAATTCTTCTCCTCCCAACTCTTGAAATGGCTTGCTTCTCTTTACCTCCTTTGGGCCTTAGCTTCTATGTTGTTTCAGACAGGGTTTACACAACCATCCTAAAGTTATTCCACATCTCAGCCTTTTGTTTTCTTCTTAAGAAAGCTTGCAACTATTTTATTCATTGGGTTTTGCATGTCTTCCCCACTAGAATGTGGACTCTGTGAGTACAGTGCTCTTGCCTATTTGTTCACTGCTGTGTTCCCAGTGCCAAGCACAATTCCTAAAACATACAGTAAGTCCTTGTTGTTGAATTAATAAAGAAAGGTGGCAGATCAACGGCCTGAAAGTGGCAATAGGAAGGAGGGAAGGAAGGAAGGCAGGCAAGAAGGAATGAAAGTAGTGAGTGATTGAGGACTTACCCTTTCAGATTCTGCTCCAAGATAATACTGGAATTGGGGCAATAGAAGAGTAGGAGAAGGAGCAGGCTTCATGGGCCTGGAGAAATTTGAGGAGGGGGAAGAAAAGTTTTAGGATGTCTATTTCTAATGACAGAATGGGATTCCAAAGAGCCCAGATGGAAGGATTCAATAGCAGGGTAGAAAGAGGTGGAGTTGGACTGGGAATCAGTAAAGCTCATCGAGAAACCAATGAGAATACAGAGGAAGTAACAAGGAGAGGAGAGATTTAGATTTAGGGCAGCTTATTTATTTATGCTTATCCCAGATGATACCAGGAATTACAGAAACAGGATATCGAGAAATAGGCTGAAAAGATGGGGACAACAATAAGGGACAAGGAAAATTTAGTCAGTGGAGAAGACTATGGAAAAAACTTCAGATAAAATGTTGGCCTCACAGACTTCTGTAAGAGTCCCTTTCCATGTGGCCTGATGACACTGCTCAACCGTTTCACAGTTTCTGGTCAGTATCCTGCCATCTTGAACCTGACCCCTGCAATGACTGTGCTTAATTTACTCAACAAAGAGTAAGAAGTACCTATTACCATATTTCACCAAATCTAAGATGCCATTCTCATTTTCTAGAAATAGTTAAAATGTGAAAAAATAGATCTCAGAATTGAAGAAATATGGCATGTTCCCAGAACTGCCTAGGTGCTAAAGATCTAAGTGGAGCAGGAAAGGAGACAGATAAAGAAGTGGGTTCACAAACTTCTAGTTCCAGCCAAGACAGAATATTAGGAATGGAATTTACTCCCCTGCCTGAAGTGATCAAAGAACAGGATCAAATAGATGAAACCATGATTTTCAGTACACTAGACATCAGGCAATAAAGGACAGTGATTTCTGAGTAACAGAAAACAAATGAGGTGATCCCTACAATTGCCCCAGCTTACTATCTTGAGAGAGTCTGCAGGCCATGGTGCAGGGATGGGGAACCCAGGCAGAGCCTGGTAGACTCCCCAAGTTGACAGGACAAAGCCAGGAGCCTAGGGATACCAAGGGAGCTAGAGTTGAAATGACCGAGTCCCAAACAGGAAAGAGCTGCACAGAGAACTATGGGCATCTACAGGGGGTCTCCTCGAGTGCTCAGCAGAAATACTGATCAATGTATGCATACGAGGAAACTATCTGAGACCGGGAGAAAAAGACAGCCAAGACAATTAGAACAGTACTTGGCACTCACAGTGGGTGAGAATAGTGATTATTCCCACAACCAGACTAAAACACCTCATAATTCATATTTATAAGAGAGCACTAGTGAGTGTGGGACAGTTTCAAGCAGCCTGACATACCTGTGATTTGAGTCCTTGAAGGAAAAAGAAGACAGAGAGGAGGTTACAGAAAAAATACTTGAAGAAATAATGGCCAAAAAATTCTTAGTTTGATGAAAACCAAAAACCTACAGATTCAAGAATCCCAATGAATGCCAAGCTCAGGAAGCATGGAGAAAGCTACACTAAAGGTACATCATAATCAAAGGGAAGAGGCCCCAAATAAGTAAAGCATTACTCAAGAAGAACAAAGTTGGAGGCCTCACACTGCCTGATTTTAGAACCTATTATACCACCACAGTAGTTAAAACAGACTAGTACTGGTACAACAACAGATACATAGACTAATGGGACAGAATAGAGAATTCAGACATAAATTCATCCACCTATGAGCAGCTGGTTATTTGACAAAGGCCCAAAGTCCATTAACTGGGGAAAAGATAGTCTCTTTAACAAATAGTGCTGGCATGATTGGATATCCATCTGCAAAAAAATTGAAACAAGACGCATACCTCACACCTTGCACGAAAACTAATTCAAAATGGATCAAAGACCTAAATATAAAATTGAAAACAATAAAGATCATGGAAGAAAAAACAGGGACAATGCTAGGAGCCCTAATACATGGCATAAACAGAATACGAACCATAAGTAACAATCCACAAACACCAGGAGAGAAACTAGATAACTGGGAGCTCCTAAAAATGAAACACTTACGCTCATCAAAAGACCTCACCAAAAGAGTCAAAAGACAACCTACAGACTGGGAAAAAATTTTTGACGATGACATATCCGATCAGGGTCTAATCTCCAAAATCTACAAGATACTGAAAAACCTCAACAACAAAAAGACAAATAACCCAGTTAAAAAATGGGTGAAGGATATGAAAAGGCACTTCACCAAAGAAGACATTCAGGTGGCTAACAGACACATGAGGAAATGCTCACAATCATTAGCCATTAGAGAAATGCAAATCAAAACTACAATGAGATACCCTCTCACCCCAACAAGGCTAGCATTAATCTAACAATCACTAAATAATAAATGTTGGAGAGGTTGTGGAGAGACTAGAACACTCATACACTGTTGGTGGGAATGTACAATGGTACAATCACT